AAAAAAAAAAAAAAAAAAAAGAAAAGAAACAAACATTTTTTAACTTTTTTTGCAAAAAAAGGATACTTGTCCCTCAATCTGAAGATGGGGATATGGATGGCATGTAAAACAAACCCACTTCTGGACAATATTCAAGACAAAGTTAGTGAGGCGCCAAAAGCATCCGAATCTGAAATGAATTGTCATTTGTCCAATTTTGAACAGGTTCTCGAGCTAAGCCAAAGCAAAAGTAATAAGCCAAAGCAAAAGTAAGCTTCCAGCTTTAGCTTTTCATGTAAATAAATAATTTAGATGATTGGCTGACTACTTAAAGAGAATAAAGTGGAGAAAATGAGAAAATATTAGTTCTTCTCTTTAGGATTTGGAGAAAGCTCCACCATTGAACAACAATCTAAGAAACTAAATTTAGTGTTCTCCTGAGCTTATATGTTCCACATGGCACAACTTCTCCCATCAATACATTATGTTTAAGTTCCTGTTTGTAGACATACTTGGGATTCTCACACAAAATTTATGTGGCAACAAATAACTTTGTCCCAAAAGCTTGCGAGTGTACCAGCTACACCGAAGGAAGCAACTAAATTCAGACTTCAATTCAACTACTCACATATGGTTCAGAAATCTGCAAATCATAAAGATTGAAACACAGAAAACCCATCAGCTGAATCACTTGCCAAACTGCTTGCCTACCATTTGCTGAAACCATTTAAGAAACCAGCATACCACTGTCCAAGAAAACAAGATTTAAATGCTTGTTGGCCAAAATCAATTGCATAACTAGGCACAAGTAAAAAAGGGTTCCGCAAGATGATAAATGATATCAGACTATCCTTTATCATAAATATTCATACAAATTTGAAAGATGCGGTTGAAGGCTAAAACTTTGAATGACAGATCACATTACCTGCTTCAAAATTACACAACATTATGTCTCATAACAATTTTCCATAAGCAAATTAACATGGTAAAGAGGTAACTCTAAACCCATGTGAATAAATAACAAAACCGATACAAAGCAAAGAGCGCCACAATCAGAAACCTCCAAAGAAATTGAAAACTATCAGTCTCGCTTCCTTTTGAAGTGCAATCACAAAGATGCTTACACCACCTTCACTGCCTTAAATGCTGGATGAAGCAAACCAAGTTCATCCCTCAGCTCAAGAGGATTACTCGTCTCATTCCTAATCCTTTTGACTCCCCTATTAGAAAGTGACTTATGACTAAAACCGTACATCTGCAAAATCTGATCATCCCCAAAATTAAATGCGCGATCCATCTGCTTCAAGCACCTCTCGACAGAATAATCCCCAAATTTCTGACATGGCTTGCAGCCCACAAAGTGAGTCACGAGTGGCCACCTGTGGTCACCAAAGCCCGGATGGTAGTTCTCGATCATCTCCTCATACTTATCCACCAAGATCCCCCAATAGCCATGCAAATAATACTTATTCTCCAGATAAACCTTATCCCCCCATCTATCTCTTTGGGTCATGAGTATGTAAATCATGGCAGACTGGTCGTCCGCCTCGAAAACAGGCCGGCCCTTGAGCTCCCGTGTCAGGAGCTGTCCCGCTTCGTCCCGAATCTTCCCCTTGGGGCCCATTGGGGCCAACGTGTCCAGAATGTCCAAAGACCACTGGCAATTTCTCAGCAAGAAACTCCCCGTGTTCAGCCCGATCCAATTCTTTTCATCATATACCAATTCCTTCCAACCGTGCATTACTAGATTATGATCCTTGTACCTATCCCAAGGTATCTCGAAGGCCATGTCCGTGAACATGGCATCACTATCCATCCACCACAAGAACTCAACCTCTGGGTGAGAGAGCAGAAGCTTCCGGATCAACGGCAACTTGGCCCAAAAACCGGACATCTCGGCATCTAGCAGGGCCATGTTGTAGAAAATCTCCATCCCGTGAAGCCTGCAGTAATCCATTTTGTTTTTTATGGATTTCAGCAGGTAATGATCGCCCACGGAGTTCTCACACGGCTTGGGGGATGAACCAGTCACCAGCAAAACCCTAGGTTTGGTCTCCGTCAGGAAATTGGGAAAATTTGGGTTCTTTTTGAGCCATTCAGATCTCTGCCGATCCCAATTCGTGATTTTCGGTCCGAGTGTGTACGGCTGGGACGGATCGCGCTTGAATTCCTCGACCCCATCTTCCTCGTCCTTGAAAATTTTGGTAATGTCGAATTCAGCGTAATTATTGTCCACGCTCTGCTTCGGCTCCTCCCGAACCGGCGTAGAGACCGTCGAAAACTCCTCCAGTACGCGGCGGGGCTCGGCCCGCCGGCGGATGTAGGAAAAGGTTTCACGGATTTCGTCGAGGTCCTTCTCCGGCGTACCGAAATTTCCGGCGCCTAGGTTTCCTCGCAGCATGAGGATTGTAAGAAAGAGGCAGAGCAGGGTTAGCTTGCCCCTCTGGAGGAGGTGCTGAGCCCGTCGGGCCCTGAGCGGGCCGAGGATCCGATCCAACATGGCGATTCGATTCAAAACCCTCGGGGCTAAAACCTCAGCCGGGTCAGCACAATGTGGGATAAGGATGGTGAGGGTTTTCTGATGAATCGGAGCTGCCAAAAATGAAGAGCGTGTGGAAATTGATATGAGGTGAGGACAGAGGTCGACGGAGGAGGGTATTTAGTGGGTTGTTTTGTGAAGAAATATGGGAACGTGGAAAGAAATGGGGGAAGGCGTGGAGAGTGTGCCAGGCTGGGGCAGTGGGGCTGCCACCCAAGTTCAGAGCTTACAGTGACGGTGCATTTTTTTTTTTTTTTTTTTTTTTTTTTTTTTTTTTTTTT